GATTTGCATATCATTTCATTTCTTATTCTCATTTTGTTGCATATTGATAGTGTTGTCAAAAGCTTCTCCCTTCAAAGATTACTCAATGGTTGACAAATTTAATTCATGTTCCCATCTTCAGCTAGCTGTACATTACTGATGAGATATGGTGCTCGATGCACCTTTTATATCTGCAGGATGATTATGGTAATTGAAGCAGTATGTGCTGGATCATTTATGATTTTATATATTGGTAAGTTGTATGTATTCATGGGATCTCTTCAGGAGTAAATTTGTACCAATAGCGTTTTCAATTATCGATTGGAATTTTTTTTTTAGTGTAAGAAACTATTTCATTGATGTGTGAAATTACAAAAGCCCATAAGGGTTTACATAAGACACTTCCAATGAGTCAAGAGGGAAGTATAGCTGTAGTGGTGGAAAATAGGAGAAATTATCGATTGGAATTAGTTTGTTCTTTTAAATTTTGGACTCAGTTATTGAATTATTGTTATGTTTTACCCATCAACTTGGTCAGTTGGTTCTTTCGATTGTGATTCTAGAAACTGTGGTTTTGTAATCTAGTGATGAATTGGGATGGTAACATGTCATTGGATGTAGATGGCTGCATAGTGTGTGGCATTTTTTTGCTAATAGGCTGCTTTCAGTAGACTGAAAAACATAACCGATTCTTAATGCTTTTCAGAATAAGATATTTCCAGCTTTCAAATATATTTACTTGAATTTCTACATCTTTTTATTTTCTGTGCTCAGAAAACATTGTGATTTATATAGTCATGTGTGCAATGCAGGTTATGTACAAAAGTACAATTCATTGAATTCTCAGCCTGATGTTTTGAAGTCATTGTATTCTCCACTTCAGCAATCAAGTTCTTTGGAAGATCTAAGGTTTTAAGTTATTAAACTTATCATAGTACTCTGCTCTCTAGTCTATATCTGGAAGCCCGGTAGTCACCGTGTCTTTAGAAAATTTATTGTTCAAATACATTTTCCCGATACTAATAATAACTTTTCCTTATTCTATTTTGATAAAATTTTCTTATACATGAAAGACTTATTTTGCCTCCACAAAAGAGTAACAAAATTTAGATTTGCAATGATGAAACTAGAACTAACGAGCTAAGATTCAAGGATAGTAAATAAAATATTTGTGTGGTAGTCATTGAAGTAGAAATTCCCTGTGTTTGTTTGTGTGACTTGTGTCTGTTTCTGCCATAGAGAGCCGAGGATTTAGATTTCAATGATAAAGCAAAGAACGGAAAATCTGGGGTTCAAGAATATTGAACAACGACAATATTTCTGTTGGTTATTTAAGAAAAAACCACTTGATGGCAAGCTAAGAGGGAGGATTACAGCCACAAGGATAATAGTTTGAGTGACTAAAATTTAGTACTCCCTAGATCTTATTATGCTAGTCAATTGTCCTTCCTAGCTTAATCATATGGAGTATGATCTGTCCCAAGAAAATACTGGTGCCTGCAGATGGAGAAATTATTTTACTCGTGATTTACGATTAAAAATTCTTTGGTGGATAGGTATCACGATGTTGGTCGACTTTCTGATCAGCAAATGGCTCTGTTGCAATACCAGCGAGAGAATCTTCATTTTCTGAATGAAGAGGTATACCATAACCTCATACTTACCTCAAGATAATTAGCTACAGAGCCCCTTGATTTTGTTGTGCTCCTTCCCAAACTTTTGTTTATGTGCATCTCAGATTCTTCGGTTGCAAGAGTGCTTAAGTAAATATGAACGGTCGAGTGATGGAAGCACGCCTCAGGTGATCAATGTTAATTTGTTGTTTTTTAGATTTTATCTGTATGGTACTTGTATAACTAAACTTGGTCCTGATTTGTTAGATGTCATTAATGTGTGAGCGAACTCATTAGTATTCATGTTCAGGACCTGTGGCAGCTAAAAAGCACGAAAAATTCAATTTAAGAAACGTGTCCGTGTCAGACACTCTGATACTTTTTGAACACTTATTAACTCAATAAATGTGTCACATACTAGTTTGTACAAAGTGAATATCAATCAAACATTTGTTAGCCACATATGGAACAATTGTTAAGCATAAGAAAAATGCTTGAGCCTTCTTTTGGAGGAACAACAGGGTTTTTAATGACAAGGCTCTCCCTTTTGATTTATTTTTTGATAGGGTTATTACCTTAGCTCTCGGATGGTGTAAATGTTTCTACCCACTTTTTAGTAGCTATTCTCTAAATGATCTTATTATAAGTTGGAAAGCTTTCTTGTAATCGCCCATCTGGCCTTTTGTATATTTCATACCATCAATGAAATATTTGTTTCATATAAAAAAAAGAAAAAGATATACATAGTAATATAGGACAAAATAATAAAATTTGAAGGCAAAATACACCAAACTCATTTTTTAAGCATAAAGATGCATAAACTTATTGACTTTGAATTTTCTTCTAGTATAAAAATGATATCTACTAAATTTTTTTTATATTTTAATAAATGTGCCCTTGTTGTATCTGTCCCAAATTAATAGAAAATGACATGTCACTCTGTTTGTGTCTCGTATCTGTGCTTCTAAGTGTGTAGGGAGCCAAAAAATTGAATTACCATTATAGGGCATTAAAAGAATCTTTGTCAAGTGGGAGCTCGTAGGGAGTATGTTCTGGAAAAAGTGTAAGCATTGGCCAATCAACCATAAATTCTATTATATGGGATTAAAAGGTCAATCTACCTATTTATTCTGCACCTCGTAAAGTTGCATGGATGGTTTCTGATGGTTTATGATTCCTGAATGTTGGACTATAGGTGTATTTCATTCTGGTTTTAATTGCGTGAGATAAATTTTTGAGTTAATATTATCATTTGATGTTGATGTCTCCTGGCTTTGTAATTTACATTCTTCTTTGTTTGTTATTTGAGAGTGTTCAAGTCAACTTAGGTGCACCTGAACTAATCTCTCACGGGATAACCCTTAAACTTGTAGTGGTTGGAATAGTCATAAGATTTTAATATCTTTGGCAGGTGGCCAAAATGGTACGAACCTTTTTTACTTTTTTCACTTGCCTTAATGGCCACTGAGCCAAATCAGAATGGTTCTTTGTCATCTACTTCATTAGAGTACATGAAAGTGAAAATTATCTCACATGATAGTCAAGGAATAGGTCAAGGAATGTAGTGTGAATGAAAATGGTAGTAGTTAACAGTGGGCTCATTTTCAGGTTGATCTTGCACATATGCTAGCTGCTCGTGATCAGGAATTGCGGACGCTCTCAGCTGAGGTATGCCTTACTTACAGCACTATGAGTATTCTGTTGTTTGATTTTTAATGACGGCCAATTTTCATGCATCCCAACTAATCTCATGGAATTTTTTACTCCAACCTTTTGTACCGAAGACCTTGTATTATTTAATATCATAGTTCATAGGTAAGTGACCACCAGGACATGAATTCATGTTTAAAAGACATTTGATTTTACCGACTTTCATGACTGGTTTACTTAAGACCGAAATTACCTTGAGCAGCACATGCAGTCAGAAATTTCCATGACAATATGAATTATATGTTGCAGATGAATCAGGTGACATCAGAACTTAGGCTTGCTCGATCTGTAATAGCTGAGAGGGATACTGAGATTCGGAAGTTTCTCACCACCAACAAGCAGGTATGAGTTCATTTTCCATTTTTCTTAATGTAAAGTTCGTTTTCTCATCAATTAAAAAAAAATAATAATAATAATTTTTTCCAATCCAACATCCTCATGTATTGCATATGGGAAAATCCTTTGCCTGCAAATTTGATACGTTTGCTATTAGGATAGGTTGAGGATATTATTAGGGTATATTAGTGATAGGGTTAGGGAGTTTGGTTATAATTAAGGTGAGGGGGAAAGGATGAAGGTAGGTTAGTATAGTTTAGGCTAGAGTAAGAATACTCTAGAGATGGGAGGGTCCAAGTACCTCGAAATACTTGGTAGTTATTGTAGTTGTTATATTTTTTATATTTCAATATATCTTTAGTGTTCGGGTTCTATCAATCAGAATTTAACATCTTGCTTATTTCAACTTCTCCTTGACATTGACCATCCTTTGAATAGTACGTGGAAGAAAATGAAAGACTGAGAGCTATTCTTGGAGAATGGAGTACACGGGCTGCAAAGGTATTACAGCTTATTCTATTAACTCGTCTGATTGACAATTAGTTTCCAATTAGTTGCTTCCGATGAAATGGTTTCACTAAAATTGTAACCTCGTGTCAATGCCCAAAAGCTCGAGAGAGCGCTTGAAGTCGAGCGTAAATCAAATATTGAATTGCAAAAGAGGGTTTCAGCATTAAGAAAGCAATCACATGCATCTGCAACATCAGAGCAGCAGGAGAGTTGATGCCTATACAAAACCATATGTAGAGTTTTAAGTTTCAAATATGAACAGATTAGACCGATTTTTCTCCTGCATTCTGGCCTCCAGTACTTTGACCAAATACAGGCAGTAGCTGTGAAGCAATGAAGGTTCTTTTTTCCCCCTCTTTTTTTCTTTCAAGACTCGTTAGAACTCCTATTCTTTCCCCTCATATAGACTGGTGACTAAATTCAATTTGTTTGGTTCCTCACACACGAAATGACCATAGATTTATTGTACATCTCCTTGTCTTTTGAAAGAAGTTACATTACAGGTGTTATAAATTACTATGTACTTCCAAGTTACATTTATGCATTCTTTACAATTATTCGCACAATAACAAGTTTCATTTAAATGTGTCATGGAAGAGCTGGTAGTTATCAAAATGTTGATTTTTAGAAGTGAGATGTAATATTTGCTTCCTTATGATTAGTCATAAGCAGTAAACAATGAGCAAATAGGCATCAAATAATAGGGAACACTCATTTTGAAACACAATTGAAGCTATCTAGATTTACATACTACCAATTTCAACACACTTTTTTTTTTTTTAAAGAAACAGGAGTATATTCAAAAAGAAAGGCAGCCAAAACAACCCTCATCCAAGAAGGAACACTAGCAAGAAATAGAATGCTACATAGTATTAATAAAGGAATCAAAAGAAGATAACTCATCATCGATATTCCCCGAAGGATAATTTCCACTCATTCCAAAGATATATCAACCCATTACATTATAAACCAAAACATTGAAATGAAAAATAATGATACAAGCTACAAGTACGATCAAAGATGGACAAAAACTAGAACAGAGACCACTCTACCCCACCCCTCCCCAAAAAAGCCAAAAAAAAAAGGAAAAAAAAAAACCAAGAATCTTAGTATCTACCATTACAAAATTGTGCTGTGTCAGTTACAGTGGAGTGACATGAGTGGTTTCATTTAAGAAGAGGCAACCAAATACATGGTTGTAAAATTCTCGACCTTTTATAACTCCATCTTCAAAGACATTTTCGACGTCATACTTGCAAGCTCTGGTGCAATCAGGGCAGTAAGTCACCTAAACAAATGAGATAAACATTGCCAAGATTGGTAAAACAGCAAACACGATTGACTGAAAATATGCTATCGATGAAAAGCATCTCAAATAATGAATAACAGACAGCATTGTGTTAACTCAAACCTCCAATAGCTTTGGTTGAAAAGAGGCATCAAGCATCACATCCAGGCCATACATGGCTCTAGAGAATGGACTATGCATCTCAGGGTGAACCACTGCAGCCGACTCAAAAACCGATCGGATCATACTTCTTACTCTCGAATGGATATCCAACCACTTAACTGCAATAGTCTCGTCAGGGCATAAAGCTTTAACTAATTAAAAGGGAACTATTAATAGAACGTAGAACGAAACAGTTTCTATAAATTAAAGGTTCGCATACCATTGTGTTCTTGTTCAAACTCCTTGACAAATTCTGCTATATTTTTATGGTTTAATCTTCCACGGTAGTTCTGCAAGTAAAGCATATGGTAAAGCTATTAAAGTGGTCTAAAGATGAAACAGCATTTGAATTGATTGCTCAGGTGCACCCAAAGCTAATGCTTGTACCAACTATAGGATAAACTACAAGAAATATGGTGATTAGAACGTACCATAACCGTAAAGTGAGTCTCGTACTCGAAAAGACTCTGCTTCTCTAAAGAGTATGGGTTATTTGCCAATCGGACCTGAAGAAGGGGTAGGGTTTAAGAGTATTGACTTCAACATAGTTTGTTCAAGAAAGATGATAGGAGGCATCACAAGAAATTTGCAATCACAGAATTCACATACCCAAAAAGAATCTGCGAGGAAGATTTCCAAAGGCTTCATGCTGCGTACAAGTACAATATAACGCAGGTCAAACTTCTTCCCATTAAACAGTGCAGGATGCTCAATATACTTTTGACATATCTTAGGACCAGTTTCCATGAGACGGATAATAGCAGATAGATTATCAGTGACTGTAGTATCGATAGTCCGGGCCATATTCCATGGTTTCAGTATCCATAAATTATTTAACCCATCTCTTTTGCGCACAAGATAATCACCAATAAGTTGAGATAAATGTATTTCAAGATTGTAAGTAGGCTGCAACCACTCAGCACATCCATGTGCCTGTTGGAAAAGTGAAACTTCCATGTTTTAGCATTTGGCAGAAAGAAATAAGAAATATCACTCCTCTTGATTATCCAAACTCATGCATTACATTATTGCCTAGACTAAAGATAAAATGAGTGTCTTTTAAAACCAAATAGTTCCAAATATATACATATCAATATCAGAGCTAATTCCCATGGTGTACCTTCTGAATAGTCTCTGCCAAATGATGTTTCATGACAAGACAAGCTTCAAAGGGAAATTGGTTAATATATTGCTCATCTGTTATTCCAGTAGCTTTCTTCGTATCCTCATCAATCTGCATACTTGTCCATATAATATCTGCCTCTTTAGGATCACTAGCTGGAAGCAAATAAATTGTACAAAAAACATTTATGTCAATTTAAGAAAAAGATCAACATGCTGAATGAAGTACAATTCTTGAAACAAAACAGAATTTAATTTCTGACTTGTAATTGATCATGGAGAGGGAAGAAATTATAATAGCTATCCCTTCTGCGATTGATTTTTTGGAAGTACTTTTGTCTCAAAATGAATAACTACATTAGAGCTACATACTAATGTATCCCAACATAATTGAAAATAGTTGCAGTACATACTAATTACAAATTCAGGGCGGTCTAAAAATTCTTCAACTTGAGGATTGTCAGTGTAAACATGTAAAGTTCCTCCTTTGCTCTGCTGTAGTCCTTCTGTGTTCACCATGGTTTGAGATATTGGTGAAGCTAACACTTTTGACTGCAGATTCCTGATGTGTTTCTCATACTCCTGATATAATTTCTCTACATTAGATTCAAACTTAGCAATGACCCCTCTCAGCTTTAATAGGTAAATGGATAAGTAAAAGGGATGCATTAGTAGGAAAGTACATGCATAAAATAATTTTGTGGGGTATGGAACCAAGCAGTAAGTCTAGCAGACCGTTGTTTCTCCTCCCCAATGCCAAATAGATAATCGCGAGTGCATTCATCACCTTTCTGAACATTGTGGATTGGCCATAATATGGTAAAGCTGGAAACCAGAAATGAAAGGGCCATTTTCCACAAAGGCACAATAATACATAAACAAGACATGGTTATAAAATGAAGAAAAAAATGTGGTTTTAAAAAATAAAAAGGAAGCAAAGAAACCTAATAGCTGACTCCAGCTTTCCCTCAGGCATGAAGAGGAAAGGAGCCACTTTGAAATTTGGCTGATCACTATGCCGCAAAGCTGAACCTAGTTCATCCATCACGTACCTGCAAAGAGCTCATAATAAAAAATTTGGAACATGTACATTCTGAAAAAGGTAGAATTTAGAAAAGTTAACTTGAACCTAGTTGATAAACAACATACCAAACAGAGGTTTCATCAATCTTTTCCTCATCTGCTAGTCTGTATGTCATCAAATACAGCCACATTGCATTTATAACACGATCAGGAAGAGGCTCTTCAGGAGTCCACTCAGGGAAACGTGGCCGAAGCATTGAATCAATCACGTGCTTTCCAGAATGCAATATTTTTGCTACGTCAATGCCATTCAGAGTATTCAGATTTGGGAGAGATTCAATAATGTCTAAAGCCTTCTCTCCAAGAGGACCAGGAATATCCACCTGCAGAACCAAATAAAAATGGGACAGATCCTAATAGCTCTTTACAAACAGACTTGTGAGCAGGATTCCGGAGCAGATTGATTAATTCTGACAAAATACCTCCAGAGAAGTTAAGCAAGGAAATTCCTTCAGGATTCTCAACAAGTCATCAACTGAATTCTTTCCCAAGGGATTTCCCCTAAGATTCAAGTACGAGAGAGATGGCAACTCAACAGGTGAAAAGGCCTGAGAAGGATAACTAAGAGAATAATCAAACCCTTTGAAATTAACTAATCATACGTAGTGCATTTCAATGCCAAAAAAAAAAAAAAAAAAACATCAGTTTAACTTTTTACTATCCCTTCCCATGAAAACAAAATCAATGCTTAAGATTTCCTATTTCCTTCAAGATTATAACATACTAACCAAAACAACTGAAATTCTCACCTTGTTGATTAAGTTGTGAATACATCGATTTGAAAGGTCTAGAGTTTCCAGGCATTGCAATGAGTGATCAGGTGGATAGATGCTTCCGGGATTATCCTTTTCATATATATCTCCACAAAAACCCAACGCCCACTCAGAAAAGTTATGAGTAAAACGTGAATTGTAGATTTCCAAATTTGGAAACCCTTCAAGAACTCTCTGCTGCAGCTGCTCACCACTGAAAAGGAAGAGTTCAGAATACTTCTGCAGGGCACTAATTCAAGCATGAAGACAACAAAGTATTATGCCTCACTGAACTATCATACGCACCAGTTTTCCGCAACAGGATTATTGTTCAACCAAAGTGCTCTAAGATGTTTAAATTTTGAAACTTCCCGAGCGACCACATCTACATTCTCAAGCTTGTTTCCAGTCAAGCTAAGTGCAAGTAAATCCTAAATCATACGAAACATAACGCCCTTCAAAACTAGTGGTTGAACAGAACTGACTGCACAACAAACTACTGACAACTCCCACAGTATATAATATGATATTAGGAAAAAGATTTATCCGTTTCCTATATTAGTTAAAAAGTGTTGAAATTTTCAGAATGCAATATCATTTATCGAGAAGTTCAATACAACTTTACTTTTATGATATATGACAGTACCTGAATATAGTTATCATGCTTCACTCGCACGATAAAAGCTAACATCAAAATTTCGATTATGTATGATCTACTTTTTGTATAAGATTCTAAAGAAACTTAGCAACATTGCAATTATCGTTACGACGTGATACAAATATTTAGAACATTGAGTTTTCATTAGTTTTCGATGATAACATTCAACGTCAAATTGTTAGCTCAAAGGACAAAAATACCGGAAATTTAGTTGTTAAATCGAGCGATAAGAGTGTATCATCATTAATTTGAAGGTCCTCAAGCTCCAACCATCTCACAGTGCCATTTCCATTATCTTTCACGCCACGTATTTCACTCTCCACAAGTTCGAAAACACTCTGTTTAACTTCATTATCATTTGAATGGACTCCCTCCTCCTCATCCAAATTCATATCAATATCCACACACATCAAGGACGCCATTCTCTCGGCCAATCCCGAAACTTCCTTCAACTGTACGCAGCCATGTTAACAAGAGTAACGAACTTCAGTAACGTTCGAAATGAAGAAACAAATTTAGTATAAGAACCTGACCTGGTTGTAAGCGTCGGAGAGACGGAAAGTCCAGGCATGGTCGACGAGGAACACGTGCGATTCCTTGGCCATGGAGTCTGAAGAGAGGACGAGCCGCCTACAGCGTCCATCCTCGAACGTCTCGACTTGGAAGTGAGCGCCGCCGTCGAAGGTCTCCGACGTGAGCTTCTGGAACAGTTGACGGTGCAGAGATTGGGGAAGTCCGGAGGCGGCGAGGAGCAAACCGTGGACTTCGACGAAATCCTCGTAGGTACCGATTCTTCCGGCGGCGGCCATTTCGGGACGTGAATTACGCTGTCCCTCGCCTTTCAATGGCTGCTTTGTGCAACTTGAAAGAGCAGAGCTGAGCTCGGCCGCCGCACCTGAGGAAGACGCTTGATCGCCGTGGGCTTGGGCCGTACTGGAAGAGAACCCATTAGAATAAATCTGAGCCCAAGCCCACGGTATTTGGGCTCTACGGCCCAATATATTTTCGAGCCCTAAATTTATCTGGGAATGTGGGGCCATGTGTAGGATTTTGCTTTTTGAAGGTTCTTTTTAGTTATTTAATTTTTTTTTAATTTTATAATATAAAATATAAGTTTATCTATTCACATGTTTACTAATCATTCATTCATCTCTCCCCTGACAGAAGCTTTTGAAAATGTGTTATATTTTTTTACGACTGAATCTAGTCAGAAGGAAAGATTACTTTGTTTGGGGATAAAATATACAATTGCCACGTGAAGGACAGAGATTGGTTGAACATAATAAGTTGTTAAAAAGACCTGTCTTGGAAGATCCCTCCTCGGAACCTTTCGAGAAGAGAGATTCAACACTCCCAATTACGTTACAACTTCTAAAATATCCGAGCACGATATGCTAAAATCCGACATTTTCGACCTCAAAACCGACCAAGGTAACTGTCTGTTACGACTCCTGTCGGGATCTAAACTTATAAATAGAGGGTCCCATTTCACCATCAGTTAAGAAATTTTCTCCTCGAACTTAATATTGAGTCCGAGCTACCTACTGACTTGAGCGTCGAATATTTTGTCCTTTGGAGCAGGTCTTCCACATCTCTCAGGTCGGAGCTAGGAACAGGTTCGAACTAGGTAACCATTGTGCGAATTCTTGCATAAACATACTCTCTCCTAGAAACTTAAAGTTCCTCTTTGCCAATCAGCAACCGCATCGAACTCTCAATGCACATGAGTAAAAATCAGCTTCTGAAATTCATTTCTCAACTCTTAAGATTTTTGATACCCACCGTACCCTCTTCCATCTGACTGGAGTCCTCCCCCTCAATCAGCCGAATAGCCATCGGACAATCAGACTCCATTCTTAATTTCTGAAGCCAAACGAAGTGCTTTAATGGCAAACAGTTATGCAAGGAGAGGAGAAAAAACCTACAACATAAAATCCCATTCTACTAAATTATCGTTTTTGCCACTTACCTAAACATAACTCAAATTGTTAATATATATCATCTTAGAAACCTGTAAACTTAAATCGTGGAATGATAAATCAATCAATCATGTGAGAAGCCCAACAATTTTCATATAGCTTTTTCCCCTTTTTAATTTGAACTTAAATGGACTGATCTCCCTTTAAAATTTTCATCAAAATAGAGGGTCAAATAGACTTGGGCAATTTGAATATAATCTCTCTCCCACCAATCAAAGCATTTGCATAAAAATGGTTCTTTTTTAAGACAATTTGTAGGGGCAGTCCCATGTTCTTTTTAGGGCTCATCTTTATAATAATGCTTCTGCCATCAATTAATGAACACACCCACACCACATGCTATTGGTAGACTATTAATTTTTTCTGTTTCTTTGAGGTATTTTGACAAATCCCATGTAAAAAAATGTCCAATAATAATTCTCAACTATACTTACTATATTTGTCTTCAACACATTTATCAAACATTTCTAAAGAAACCCCAACTTTCCTAAAATGGCATAAAATGCCAGAGCAGAGTTGCCATTAAAATCACACCCTTCTGCACACATATATATGCCAATTGATAAGAACAAAGCCACCCCACACCCACAGTATAGCTCTGTCTTAATTAACCCTTTGTACACATTTTTAAAGCTGTTTATGTGTCCATATTTGGCTGTGATTACACTAAATGCACATCAAAATGTTTGTCCCTTTTTTGTTAAGTATATATGGGAACTTACTTGGTGTTTAACAACTTGTAATTAAGTCGCTAATCGTCTATATATGATTTTGTATCGTTTCGTTGCAACTGCGATGATGTTCGATCGATATTGGGAAGAAGGAAAAGTTGTATCAAATCGGGGGTGGGTTTTCGTTGCTTATGTTGAGGGGTGTTTTTGGGAGAAGAAAAAAGTGTATGAAAATGGGATTTTTTGTAATTCATTTAAGAGATTGTTTGGATTATGAGTTTAGAAAGTCGAAATATTAAAACAAAACTTTTAAATTCTTAATATATACTACTCCCAATAGTGATAGTATATTTGTTCCACTGCTTAATTAAAACAAAATAATAACTTTGTTCAAAAAAATTTAATGAACATTAAAAAAAGTTCCTGAAATCTTAATTAAACTTTGCAAATTTAATAATTAGTTTTAAAACAAAATATAATAACCTTGTTCACGTCTTAAAACACATTACACGCCATGCAATGCACGTATTAAAAAAGTTAAAAGATACCATGCACATAAAATAAAAACAATTTATAGTTCATTTAAAGGGCTATTTAGTTTTAACTGCCTTTTTTATTCGGTTTTTTTTTAATTCAACAAATGTGAGGTGGGATCAAAACTCTAATCTTTGAAGAGAATAATGGACTCATTTGGTAACGTTATTGTTTCTTGTTTCTGTTTCTTTATTTTTAGTAAAGAAAAATGAATTGCATGACCGTAACATGACATGAATTTAAGTATGATAAAACAATTTTTTTATTCATGTTTTGAAATAAATTGAAAATGAGAAAAATAAAAAAGAAACTTGTTTTAATTGTTTCCAAAATTTCTATACAATTTTGATAATGTTCCTAAAAAAAGTAGAAAAACGAACAAGAGACATAGTTAATTGCAAAATGCTTAAATTTCTTAAGAATATTGGAAATGAAAAACAAAAGATGTTACTAAATGAGCTAAATAAGTTTTGAAAAATACTTAGATCCTGGTGAGAACCTGTCTCTAAATCTCTGTTAGCTGTCAAATATTTAATGGTCGTGATGGGTCATATTACGACAACTAAAACCTTGAGTATTTTCAAGTCTTATTCATTGAATTATCGTCAAATTGGTTGATAGATTTATTTGAATCGTAGCTAGGTTTATGATTCACAAAATTTTTAACTTTATTTTTTAATTCAACAAAATATGGAAGTGCATATTCAAACCTCCAACCTTGAAGGATATATGTCTTAAATCAGTGAATGGAAAATACGACCAGAGTAACTGGGCCCACCTAAAGAAAAAACCTAGATAATTAACAGGCCGGACATTTCAAATAATTCTATAAAAACTCCAATTCAAGAACCATACAGATACAGAATTGGAAAACCTAGGTAGGCCAATGAATGGCGTTTTCTTCAACTTCAACTTCATCTTCTTCTTCTTCCTCCACTTTCGTTTCCCAAGAAGAATTCAATTTATTCCACAAAATCGACAGAGAACTGTACGCCATTCTCGCCGTCAAAATCCGGCGAGATCCAATGGAGGCTCTCCAAATAATGGCCTTTTGGCTCTGGTTGGAGCGAGCCGGCTTCCGCCACATCGTCTTCCGAATGCTGCGTTTGCCCCTTCTCCTCATCAATGAACTCGCCGACGAGGCCGCCGCCGCCCTCGCCGCCCTCTCCTCCGACCGCCCGCCGCCATTCTCCGACCTCACTCTCACACGCAACTTCTTGGAGAGAGAAATCTCCCTCCGCTTCCTCTACGCCAACCGCCAAATCGCCGTCCAAGGAATCGACAAACTTCGAAACGACGTCTGTTTTAGAGCCTTTCAAGATATCATGGACACAGCCTTGAGTCACAACATAAAAGTCTCCGCCGCCTCCACCCCCGCCGTTCCTCCGTGGCTGCCGCCTTCAACCACCACTCCTCCCGCCGGGACATTCGACGACGGCGGCGATCCACAACTGCAGGTATGTTTCTTGCGGCGTGATATTTTATTTGCTGAATTTTGCTTGGTACTAAATAAAATTTTAACATTTACTGTGGGGATATTTTATTCACTGAATTATTAAGAAAGTTGAAAATTTATTTTTAAGGTGGATTTTAGAATATTTTAGAAGATGAGATTTGGGTGAAATCACCGAATCAATTTTAAATGATTTTAAACTTTTCTTTAATCAATCTTTTTAATTGATCAAATATGATTATGAAAGAGTGAAGTGATTTTGACAATAAGATTTCACCAAAATCACTCTCAAATACATGTTAATGTTAATGTCAAAATCAATTCCTTATGATAAATTAAAAAATTGATTTTAGAAAAATTTAAAACTATCTTAAATTGATTTTTAAGATATCATTTTTAAGGATGATTTTGAAAATCAATTTGTATTTGAGAGTAATGTAGAATTAATGATTTAAAAAAAGTTAAAGTTTAATTGATTTTTAAAAATGAGTGATAAGTATCAATTTAAAGTAATTTTAACGTTATTTGAAATCAATTTTCTAATACAATGACAAAATAATTTTGCCATGCTGAAAGAAATTAATAAGCATATGAGTAATTATCGATATTAATATATATATTTTGTTATCCATCTTGTTAACAAGGTGGGTGTTTTATTCATATTGTTAACAAGGCGGCGGCGGTGGCGGTGACGCCGGAGGAAAGGGCGATGTTCGTGACGTTCTCAAAAGGGTACCCGGTGCACGAGTGGGAGGTTCGGGAGTTCTTCACCGGAAGCCATGGCGACTGCATTGAGACGTTTCAGATGCAAGAAGTGGCGGAGCCGAGCGAGCAGGCGCTGTTCGCTCGGATAGTTTTCCGATCAGCCGCCACCATCGACAACATTCTTGGCGGGCATCAAAGAGTCAAGTTCACCATCAATGGAAAACATATATGGGCTCGGAAATTCATTCCGAAGAAAATACAGCAGCCGCCGTCGCCGTCGCCGCCGCCGCCGTCTGCGGTGGTTTAGTGTCTAAACCCTTGAGGAAGATAATGAGTCTGAATTTGTGTGTATTTTCAAATTTGGAAGGTGATGGAGCATCGTTTGTATTTGAGGAAAAAGTTAAAAATGAGAGATTTTTAGTGCTGGGTTTTGTTTTACTTTTAACTTCAATATTTTAGAAAAGAATTCTTCCCTTATATTATTATTATATTCTTGTATAATTTTACTTATTTTTACATAACCATACATAATAGAATTAATTAAAGAACAATTTTTTTTTACTCATTTTCTCATTGCAAATTAAGTTTTTGTTTACTTATCTTCTTTTTTATGTTTTCACAAAATAAAATCTGTCTTAAATTAAAAAAAAAAAAGATGTTTTTGAAAACTTTTAACGTATATAAGTACTCAACTTGACTTGAGTACACTCAACATAACCTATAACTGCTCAATTTCAACCAACCGACTCATTTGCGTCTTTGAACTTTGGGATGAGAATTTCAATTATTTGATATGCTAGTTTGAATGCTTGGATCATACCGAAGAAAATAAAATGAAGAAAAGACTGCCTAGATCAACTCACTCTAACTACACAACTATAAACTTGATTTGATTACATCAAATCAAATATAGTATTACATCAAGTCAAATATAGTCAAACCCCTTGTATCGAATATTACGAAAGATAATGAAGCTTGCGTAGCAAATGTGTTTCTCGATAAGAAAAAATGTGGATGGGTGCATCTCATTAACCTACTAAATACAACAAAAAAGGGTAAATGATATAACATAGAAGCAAAGTAGGCCGATCCAAATAAGTATCCTCCTAACTTTACTGCTTGATAGGAGCAACTTAACATGTACTAGAATTAGAATCCCGCGTAATGAAGCACTTTTTATTTGATTTTTTTAGTACAACATATTAGGTAGAGGATCGAACTCACAACTTCTTAGTTTGAGATATATGCTAATTACCGTCGAGCCTCATTTTGACACTATCTTATTTGATTTGACTGATAAGAAGCACAACAAACAATTATAACAAATTATATCAAAACATCAAAATTTTTAACAAATACCATCTTTATATTTATACAAAATATGAAAAATTCATTCATATTCGAAAATATTTATAAAAGTAAAAGTTCTCTAACTTTTATCTAAAACATATCAAAATCCTGCAAAAAAAAAAAAACTTTGAAAGGGTAGTGATTTTAAAAAACTTTAAGCTAATAAATTTAAGATTTTATTCGACGGAGGAAAAGGGTGATTATGTTTGTAGTAAAGTGGAATTTTTCAATCAGCCACCACCGGCGCCGCCGCGACTGCCGCCGTAACGGCGTCTCATGATTCTTCAAGAAGATGAGTTGGGATTTGTATTTTCCAAATTTGGAAGGTGACAGAGCATTGACTGTCGCATTCGAATA